GGCCCGCAGCATCAAGCGGGCTCAGACTCCCTCCTCACAGGCATGGCCTTCTTCAAGATGAGAGAGGTAGGGTGGAGGAGGCTTTGAGGAGGTGGCCTTATATCAGTACTCTTGAAATGCATGGAAACACAAAATGGACCCAATTTTAGTCACTGCGTAGCTGCTGGATAATATTTAGTTTTAGCTGAAAGTTGTTTTTTAAAGCCTTTGGAAAGCCTGGCTCAGATAGTTTGGTGCCAAGGTTGGCTTGCAAATTTGTTTTGATTCAAGTGGAGGCCAGCTATGCTTGCAGGGTAGGTAAATGATGTGATTTTTAGCTTTAAATAACGTTGTAAACAGCGAGTGGCGCAATACTAGAGAATCTCACACAGTGCTCCTTTAACTTCTCAAAGATGGACTGTTTTCAAATCTGATGATATTTTTTTGCCACAGCTTCTGAATCTTGTGATTATTGACAGTAATGGATGTGAAGATAAATCGGACTCCATAGAGCTCTACTTTAGACTGATGATGATGATGATGATGATGATGATGATGATGATGATGATGATGATGATGATGATTTGCATCCTCCACTGTTGACAATTCAAGGAGGGTTGGGCGGTGGGGGGGGGGGGGGGCAATCCCAGCGCCTCATCTTTGACTTTTTTCCAGATGTTCTTTGAGGATCACATCGACGACGCTAAATACTGTGGTCACCTGTATGGCCTGGGCTCCGGCTCCACGTACGTTCAGAACGGAACGGGCAACGCTTACGAAGAAGAGGCCAACAAACAGCAGTCATGACATCACTGTGGAACCCCTCCCGCCCCTCGTCCCTCTCCCCCCCCCCTCCCCCCCCCCCCTCCCCCCCCCTCTCCCTCACCCTCGCCAACGGGTCGTCCCTCCAATCAGAGCGGAGTACCATCGTTACCGAGTAGTCCTGGACAGCTGTGTCCTCCCGGGTCCCGCTAACTGTAGAGGAACTACAAAAATGGCCGACATCGAGGAAAGGAAAGTCGAATGCGGCGTGCAGGCAGGGACCGGTGGGGCGGGCGCAGGTCGGTCCAGTTAAATGTAACATTTAACTCTGGGGCCAGGGGAGAGCGGAACGACAAACAAACAGGATTTTAGTTCGCCTAAAATGTTCTGTAGACATTTTGCACTTTAAAAAATACTAACCAGATCCTGATTTTATATGGAAAGCTGAAATAGTTTCTGGTGTCGTCTTTGTTGCCTTTTTGCTCCCATTTTACATGTGACTTATTACCTTTATCATTAAAGCTATCTTTTGTTCTTATTTGTTTTCCACCGCCAAGCTCAGCTTTAACATTAGCTCCATGCTTATGTTTTAGCTTTAATTTATTCCATCAGGTCGTGATCAGCTTACGTTGATTAACCGACCCATACATGACGTCGACTTTTCGAGTGAACGCGTAGTTAGTATTTGCCCGTTCACCGGACGTCTCCAGTTATAACCCTCTAGTATAGGAAAGCGATATGGGGAACTTAACTTAAAGTGTGTTCAAGTGTGCGTATGACATTGTGATATTTGCAAGTATTGTGATAGCTCACAATACTTATTTTGGGTGTGGGGTCGCAATAACCTGGCTCTAAACTCTCTCTGAGAGATCAACAGACGTGTACTGTTATTTTTTTTTCTATTCTGTGTTTATTGGGTTTCATTAGCACATTTTCTGGTTGATTATCGTTTGTTTCAACTGACATGTATACTCGTGACCAGGGGAGAGACTTGTACACTTTAACGTCAGCCAGAGGTTCAGGGGGTGCGTGTGTTTAGGTTTATTTTCTGGAATATTCTGGGCTCGTTTACGCACCGATCGACACAGGTACCAACACAGGCTTTTGGTTTTGGTTTGAAAGCCGGTTTTATCAAAACCTGACCCAAAAAAAGAAAAAAGTTTTCCACAAGGTGACCATGAACATCTCCATTCAGAGGACGTTGGCCCATTTTCACTTTTAATTGAAATGAAGGTTTTGTAGAATTTTAGTATAGAAATAATAAAAAGTGACTTTTACTCATCGAGAGATGGAGAGAGAGAGAGATGGAGAGGGAGGGAGAGAGAGATGAAAGAGAAACATTGCCTTTTAATCTGCCTCTTAAAGCACCTTGAGCTTTCAGTGGAATACGTTTAACATTGTAGCTCTGGTCGTTGAATGACTCGTTATTTTGTGCCGTTTGTTTTTGTATTGCGTTCCAGTTGACCCATGCTGCTTGGATCTGCTGCATGTGCCGAGACGTTTGAATAAATGCCGTGTTGTTGAGACTACCTAGAGCTTCCATAGACGTTGGAGTGTGTGTATCACAACCTGTTAACCTTCCAGTGTTAAAGATATGGAAATATATTCACTTTATCATTTCTTTGTCCTCATCACATCTTTTACAACATGTAAAAGATCTTTTTTTTTTCTTTTTTAAATATGCAATACTCGAGGATTGTTTCTTTTGGTTTTGTAAATAAAGGCTTGGAACTTTTATAACACTAAACGGGCTCGACGGGAGTCTTTATTTTTGTGTGTCAGAAATATAAAAACAAACCTGTGAGAGGTGGAGAATATGACCTCATTTTATTTTCACTTTGTAAGGCAGCACAACTGAGCAGTACGTAAACCTAACCACCGGGTCGTCTCTTGAGTCAGAGTTTGATAGAAAAATATATATAGACACAACACAGCATTTCAAAACAGGCGAGTACTTATCACAGGAAAGGCGTTTTAATAATAGTAATTTCGTTTAAATGACCAGTGTTAAAAGAAATAACGGTCAGAAAGTACAAATTTAACAAAGCTCCCATAGCAACCTTTGTTTATTTCTGCAATACGTCCACTAAATGTACTTTTTCAACAATTCGATAAACCTAAAATACTCGTCACTATGACTTGTCTCAACTTTCAATACATTTGTGGAAAATGCAATCAAATTACGAACCGCAAATGACAGATTCCTGGCCGGAGTGACGCTTCTCGAGTGATGACAGACCAGGGAACATTATCTGGCAGCGTGACATGGACGCTATGCCAGACATACATGCACTATCTGGCATAGGGAAGCCAACTGCCGTTTTACAGAAAAATACCAGTTAACAGTGTATTTTTGTGACAGGACACTCACCTCACTCATACGGTCACATAAAACCCTAGCAGTCAGACAACAGAGCCCTTGTTCATAGATTCACTAAACGACTTCACACAATCATCACAAGCAAGAGAGAAATAATATCATTGTTTTGCATACAGTTCAATACGACGAAGCATTTAGATTTCACTGAGATCGAGCATGCACCGGGTTCATTGTTACAACACTTTGCATGTAGATGATGATGCGGGGGGGGTTTCAAACGCAGGTGAAACTGCACTGACAAAAAGGCCTTCCTTGTTTGTCCTTGTTCTCAACTAGAGAGGCCCATAAGACCAATATCACAGTAACTTATACTTATGTGCAATGTTTGACGAAAACCAAAATGTAGCATTCATCTCTGCCATTAAGCTCTTGCATACAAAATAAAAGAAACAGAGGGTCTAGTTTCAGCCTACTATGAGCGACCCTTAAACTGTGTAGCATACATGGAGTTATCAAAAGCAGTTTACCCGGACTAATATTCATATTATACAAAGTGCAAAACCGCAGTCATTACAATACTGTGCTTAACGAATGGACAAACTCAAAGTCTCATATACTGGAATGCAGTTTCTGTCCACTAGTTCTCAGGAACTTAATGGTTAACCTGTTTGTATCCCGTTATGTTCACTAGTTGACTCATTTAAGAGTGGCCATGTTGTTGTTGTTGTTGTTGTTGAAGACAGCCATGAAGTAAACCTATAGAAGCAGACGGCTGTATGCATTATGATCACGTCCTGATAGGCACACACGACCGGGAAAGGGCAGCATTAACCTGTTGAACCAAACACACAGTACATGTACAGAGTATAGACACTGATAAAAGAGCCGAGACTGAATTTGAGGACATTTACGGTACTTACTTTTGGGGGTTAAACATCATGATTCCTAATAGCAGACTACATCTCGTTTTCTATGATCATTATGGGGTTGCTGGTACCTGCGGAAAGACACAAGAGGTGAAACAAGTCAAATCCACTATCCATGTGTTCACCTAAGATGTGAGCAGTTACTAAAAAAGGGGGAAGAATGGGGACCCATCGTTACCCTTCCTCTCTCTGTCCTCTGCACTGTCACTCTCTGTCCACGAGGGGGTGCTGGTGAGCAGCCGACTCTGAGAGTCCCTCAGCGGCTTGGCTGGAAACTGGGCATCCGTCGCACTGTAACCATTAACCGAGCAAAAGGAAAAGTAGAGAGGACGGTAAATAAACATAGTTCGTAACAAGAGGAATACATTTGTGTAGCTTCCTTTAACTGTTTAAAGCAAATTGTGGGACACTTTACCTCTTGTTAGCGCTGTGGCCTTCAGGGGAAGATGGCTGCTCTGGGTCCTGGTTGACCAGACAGGTAGGGAAGGCGCAGCCATCTCCGAGGCTATATCACCGGAGTACATTAAAACACACGTCAAATGACCGCGAATGACGGCGTTGGATTCACGTCTGTTCTGTAGTTAACATGAAACAATCACTAAAGTCACAACACAGGCCCGAAGGCCAGCCTCCAGAGGAAAGGGAACGGTTGCTACCTGGAGGAGACAGGGAGAAGCCAGTATCTCCTCTCGTCGCCGAACACCTGGCGGAAATTCTTGCTGAAGCCCAGACTGAAGCCGTTCTTGTCGATGCCGTGGCGGAAAGCAGGGGCGCGCACCGCCTCTGGGAGATACACACACACAAACCAGCCTTTTAGCTTTGCTTACTTTACACTCATCTTTTAATGATAGGCTTTTTGAAATGTTTCGATGTGATCCATGCCTATAAAAAGCACTTTGGATGGCCTTGTGTTTGGGGGGGTGCTATATAAATACGCTTGCCTTGCTTTGCCTTGACATGACAAGACAATTGCGATGCAATTATGATGAAAATGAACATATAGCACTCCAATGGTCCTGTATACCTCAACTGGTAGCGCATGGCACCAACGCTGCCAGGGTTAGGGGTTCGAATCCCCACCGGGGCTTGTTTGCACTTTGCAATGGTATTATGAGATATTCCACCTCATTATGTTATCATTGGCAGTTTTTTCATGAATGAGATGACTCAGATATTTCAAAGATACATAGTAGTTGGTGGACTGCGCTACCAGGCGCTAGCGTAGCAGCAGGGGGCTAGCATATAGCGAGGGGGATAGCATAGCAGTGTCCATTACTAAGCTGCTTAGCATCACGGCATTACAATGTAACACACTCCCTGGATAATCGACTCGTTTCAATCAAAGACAGAGCGTGCACTGTGCCCACATAATGAGACAGCTGTGTCTAATACTGGCGTCTTTATTAAATCAGGGTCTTGATAATGGCGTCAATTATATCTAACCTAGAGGAGGGTGGAGGTTGAAAACAGATCAGCATTCATTCCTATTACTAGTCAGTATTTTACTATTTAGTCAGAGACATTTACAATGGAGATACAGTGTCATTATGAAGCAGGTTAGGGGTTAGGGCACCTTGCTCAAGGACGCCTACAGGTAGACTAGGGGTTTGAACCCAGCACCACCTACCCACCCAGAGTGGATCTGTTCTTGCAGACCAGCCAGCAGTGGTAGGCAAACAGAGAGGCCAGGCTGACGGAGAACATGGAGGCCGCGAAGAAGAGGAACATGATGTGAAATTTGGCCTGCGTGTCAGGAAGGCCGTTCTGGCGGTAACACAGATCGCAAAAAACAACAACTAGTCAACACATAGAACAGACCTATGAGTACCCCACAATTAGTTAGTTAGTTGGTTAGTCTAGTTGAATTGAATTGATGTACTCCACAACAAACTGGCCTTCTTATTAATGCATTGTTAGTTGTTCCTGTTTTAGTGCTACTCATCAGCTGATTGGCTCATACCAGGTATTCCTTTAGACGATCATGCGCTCTACCTTCAGCCTTGCAAAGCAAAAAAAACAAAAAAATCAAAATATTTAATGTATCATTTGGTGCTGAAGTGAAATTCAGGATTTGGCACTAAACACCACAGACAGACAGTGCAAGTACACGAATACGATACTATGGTGTACTTACGGTCCAGAACTTGATGAAGTATTGAAGATCTGTGGCAGTGATAAAGAGGCAGTAGAGTAAGGAGTAGGCCAGGAAGAGCATGAAAAACTTATAGTTGGAGAATCCAACACAGTTGTTTACCCTGCGTTCAGCCAGGACAGAAATCACATTATTCAGGTCAGTTAGAATCCATCAATCACTGAAATGATCAATCAACCTATCCAACTACGTCTGTCTGTCTGTCTGTCTGTCTGTCTGTCTGTCTTTCCATCAGTCTATCTATCTGTCTGTGTATCTATCTATGTATTCTGTCTGTCTATATATATATCAATATTTATTACACAGCTTCTTTGAATACTCGATTCTACGGTATGCTATTTCTGAATATCAGACCGCTGCTATTTAAAATCAAAATCATTTTTTGTTGTTATATTTTGCGTCAAATTATTGATTTCTTTAGTAAGTAGCCGTGTAATAAGTGTGATTCACGTCAGGGTCCTGCATCACCCTGTCAGGGTTTATTTCGCAATAATGACCGGCTCGCTGTACATTGTCCCTTACCTATCTGTCTGCATGTTCACTGTTCATCAGTGTACATTCGGTGTTTAGCATTTTAATTATTATTGGAGACACGGTTGTGCTCTTTGGGTAACCCGGTGTCATTATGGTATCAACAACAGTCTGTTATCAATACAGGAGACTTCTTACACACGTTACCCAGAAACCTCACCAATATAAAGCCCACAGTTTAAGCCTACGATTAAAGAGAGCTGAACATCCCCCTCCTATAGCTAGATAGCCCTTGCGACTGTATTTCTCAAATGATAAAAGAGCCTCATGCATACCAGGGACAATGGTGATCCATCTTCAGAATACATCTGCAACACAGGACAACAAATCACAGCGCGGGTCAGTGAGTCCAATAGCATCTGGTGCTGAATGCACACTGGGTGTTGAGCGTGTGTGTGTGTGTGTGTGTGTGTGTGTGTGTGTGTGTGTGGAGGAGCCATACTTATCACAGACTGAGCAGTGATGGCATCGATCAGGCTTGAGCAGCTGACAGCGGTCGCAGAAGCGGATGGCTGTAAAGAGACGACAGCCGATTCAATCACCAACGCACAACAACACACGATGCATCACCATCAGCAGCGGGACTGGCCCAGTCTGACCCCTGAACACAGACGTACCCGAATGTGGAGTCAGAGACGGCCATCTTAGAGGCCATGCAATGTTATTATTTTGGGCTCCGTTATCGCAACTTATTTATCTCATAATCACAAGGTGACAAAGGTTGTCTTCTCGTGATTACAACTTCTTGTACGGATGATCTTGTGATCACCCGTCCCGGTCCCGGTCCCTCGAGTTGGCTGGCTATGAAATTGACCACCAACTGAGGGTCACTGTAATGCCGACTCCTTTTCAATGTCATACACTCATTTGGAAGTTGGTAATTTCTGCATGAGTCAATATGTGGTCATAGTAAAATGCAATGCGGTCATCCATCACAAGTAGCAGCCCGCAATGTACAGCAGTCCATAGAGGCAATGTGATTATAGTAGCCTTGGATAACTGACGTCTAATTTGTTAATGCTTTCACAATTATTGTTTTATCTCGTGATCACGAGAAAACAACTTTTATTATCTGGTAACCACGAGATCAATAAGTCGCGATCACAAGAAAACTACCTTTTTTTTCGCATAACCACAAGATCAATAAGTCGTGATCACGAGAAGAATACAACTTTTGTTAACTCGCAACAACAAGATGAATACGTCGTGATCTCGAGATCCCAAAATAATAACATTGCGTGGCCTCTATGTACTATTTTTATTTTTACTAATGACCTTTTTATTAGATGCTTTTATCTAAAGTGACTTAAAGTTAAATCGTTTAAATTATTAGCCGGGGTTAGTGCTCCTCGAGGATGCTATACGAGTTTGGTGGTGGACATTGGGGGTTCCAACCCAGAAACTTTGAGCTGGGGGTCAAGCACGTCCCTAACTACTACACACTGTCCTGCACACCTAATCTGGGATCGTCAGCGAGAGGATCTATCGGGACCACCGGGGGGTCCTGTGTTGTAGCAGCTGTGGTAACCCCCCTAAAGCCCCGGTACCTCCAGAGTTGGTGCGGGTGTAGATGGGCAGGTCCTTGGCCACCCGTCTCAGGATCTCCTGCTGAGACTCTCCGCGGTTTGCACGCTCCAGCAACTCCTTGTCCGAGTAGGACAGGTGGAACTGAATGTGGGGCACAGGTGAGAAAAATATCACGTGTCAATATGTTCACAAAGCTGGCAGAAAGGATGAGCAAAAAAAAACAACATATTTTTCTGCTCTAACATTGTTTTTCTATGCCGTCGCCGATGACGCGTTGAAACCCATTACATGGGTGTGTCACCGGATCGGCGATCTGTTATTCATAGCAGCGGTCTGCAATTGAGAAATAACAGTCTGCAGAATGCCCGTAATTGACCAATCAGAATTGAGCATTCAACAAAGCCGTGTAATAAAATCTGTTACAATGTCGTCATAATGTCACTGTCATGCCGTGGTGTTTCATTCGAAGTCACAGGCTTTGTGTGTGTGTTCGGCCGTGGAAGCACAAATCAAATTGTAGTTGAAATTGCTTCAGTAAAGCAAGTGGCGCTGGGCCAGCGGGGGTCAGGGGTCAGGGCTTCTTAAACTATGGGTCGGAGCTGGGGACCCAAAATGGTGACGCTTCATTGGTAATTCTAATGTGCTCAGTTTTCTTTAGAATATGCAGTTGGAAAGACGCAGACACACTGAAATTGTCTTTGTGGTCCCGAGGTGAAGAATGGCACACGTGATGATTGCACTGTGGCTCCCCAGGTCGCCTGGGGAGGAGACTCACCTCCTTGAGGGGGTTCATGGGCCTGGTGAAGATGGTCTGCCAGTAGGCCCACACGAACATGATGAAGGTCACATGGTAGGCCAGCAGGTAGACGACTGAAGCCAGAGCGAGATGACAGCGTGAGTCACTGTGTGATGCTGTATCAGTTCAGTCATTTTTAAACCATAATACCGTCTAGAACAGTTAAGGACGGATTTGTTCTAGTTCAACTGAATACGAGGGGATAGAGTAAAAGTGTGTTAACTCACCTTTTTGTCTCAGTCTATTAGTTAAAACGCAATGTATGTGAAAGCATTGATTTCAGTTATGGTTATATTGCTTTAGATACTGTTTTACATACATAATCTTTTATGCTGTGGAATAAAAGACAGTAATCTAACTTAATTAACTAAATGATCTAACTCTAAAGCTTTATTTCTGTAGTGGCCCTGTTTACACAAGCGTTTTGAATATCTGCATATCCACATATCCACAATCATCACCAAACTTGACATATGCTCCACTGACCAATATATATTATATGGAGATGATTATTGTGTGTGTGGTCTATAATGTAAAAACACTTGGCAGCCATCTTGTCAATTTATCAATCTACTAACCCTAACCCATGTTTGGAGACGTCCCTTTATTGATTCTACATATCAAGTGCTGATCGGTGAAATATTCTGAGGGGCTGAGTTTGAGAATGTCCTCTGCCGTGGAAAGCCATTGTATGTGCAACCCTGAGTTTGGCTGTTTCTATGTTAAAACTCGCAAGTTCAACACAGTGGCAATAGTAGGCTGCTATTGCATTTGATTGTGCATTACACAATTAGCCGTTTTTTTGCATTAATCGGTGGCTGATCCATTCATTTGTGAGGTAAACTCTTTAAACCTTATCTCATCAAATGTGGAGAGATGGTACCTGGCCCACACGGTTACAGACATCAGTATTGATATAGTCCTTTATCAGTGTGTAATTCATGTTAAGGCTCCTGAAGTCATTCTGTTTATCAATCGCTACACTTTACACACTATAATTGTACATTCATCACTTGCTACAGATGCGTTTTTGAATCTAGATATTTATCTTGTGTAAACAGGCCAACAATAAACACTAAAG